TAAAGTTAGCTTGTCATAAGGCAACATGGCGACATAACCAGGTGTTGAAATGTTTAGCTGCAGGCATAATGTCAGTTGGGGGCCAGCAGGGGGAACTACTAAGCAGGGTACATAACTCCTTGAGATCAGGTAGAGAGATCCACTTCCTCTCAGGAGGAAATCCAGGAAGAGGAAGGTTATTTAAGTGTGAGAGTGGTCTATTTGAATCTGAATTGAATTGAATTTGAATTGAGTGTGTTTGCTGATCCTGTAAGTTTATTTATCTCCTTTAACTTTAGCTTATATTGGAGTTATGCTATGTAGGGTGTGAAATAGATGTGATAGAGATATGGTGAACATGCTAGCAAAGGTAGTATCGGCACTGTCACTACCTGGAGCTCGCATGTACGGAGCCTGGGTTTGGTTGGAGGTGGCAGTGCTGTTTGGGCTGAGAAAGCCATGTGTAAGTAAGGTAAAGAAGGTTATTGGGTTGGTGCGGGGAGCACTTAGTACTTAGCACTTAGTAGCAGAACTACTAGGCAGAGTACATAACTCCTTGAGATCAGGAGGAGAGATCCACTTCCTCTCAGGAGGAAATCCAGGAAGAAGAAGGTTATTTAAGTGTGGGAGTGGCCGATTTGAATCCCTTTTGTTTGAGACTATGCTGCAATGTGAGTGTGTTTGCTGATCTTGTGAGTTTATCTATCTCCTTTAACTTTAGCTTATATTGGAGTTATGCTATGTAGCGTGTGAAAGGGTATGGTGAATGTGCTAGGAAAGGTAGTATCAGCACTGTTTCTACCTGGAGCTCGCATGTACAGAGCCTGGGTTTGGTTGAAGGTGGCAGTGCTGTTTGGGCTGAGAAAGCCATGAGTAAGTAAGGTAAAGGAGGTTATTGGGTTGGTGAGGGGAGCAGTGAGACCTGGCATTAGGGGAGTGTCTCTGGGAAGCCAAAGATCACTGTCTAGCCTCCTGGAGGTGTCGTGGGACCAACTAGATGAAACACTGGTGAAAGGAGGTTCCCACCCGATGACCCCAAAGACATGTTAGTTATCACTCCTCACTGGTCTGTATAGTTAAGACTTGCCATAATAGCTTATCATAGGGCTTAGGGGGTTATTCACTGAGTGTTGATCCTTTCTCTAAAGCACAATCTTCTTGTGTTTATTTGAATTATTAGGAGATTTTAATACAGATGTCTCTGATGTAAGCTACGCTACCTACAAGGCGTATAACAACTTTTGCAAGTCCTCCGGTTTGACGCAAATAATTAAAGGACCCACTCCGGTTTGCCAAACGACCCAAACTACCACTGATCTAATTTTAGTGACTGACGAATCAAATATAACTCACAGTGGGGTTATTGGATATGGAATTAGTGATCACTACCTTATCTACTGCACAAGAAAGAGACACAGGGTACCTTTTTCTGCGCATAAAGTTATCTGCATTAGATCACTCAAAAATTACTCTGTAGAAACTTTAAGATCTCAATTGAAAAACCTGGATTGGTCTCCTATAACAAATGCCTGTGATGTAGACAAGGCCTGGGGCACTTTTAAATGTTTATTTATCAAGGCAGTAGATGCAGTAGCCCCTCCCAGACAGATTAGAATTAAACAAAGGAGCAACCCCTGGTTTGACCACTCAATTAGGGAAATGATAAAGCAATGGGACTCAGCGTTGGCTAAATTTAGAAAATCTCAAGAACCAGATGATTTTGAACATTTTAAGAAATGTAGGAATATAACACAGAAAATGATCAAGACAAGTAAGCAGAACTATTACTCTGAAGTAATTAAGGATAACAGCAAAAATCCCTCAAAATTATGGAAAACACTAAAGACCTAGGCTGTAGTGGTAAATCAAAGACTAATGAGGTAAACATAGGGTTACAAACAGACAAGGACATAGGGTTCGACAAAGAAATGATTTTTAACACTTTTTTCACCTCTATTGCCAGCAACCTGGTCTCCAAATTGCCAGATTAAACAGGTGAGGACTTTGTTACCCAATACTACAGTGAACTAGGAGTCAAGGAAGATGCTTTTTCTTTTAATAGGGTTACAGTCGACTATGTAGAGAAAATGCTGAGCAAGCTTAATATTACTAAGGCTACTGGGCTTGATGGGATTGGTGCTAGGTTCTTAAGAGATGCTTCGGCTGACATTGCTCCATACATAATGTGTATAATTAATCTTTCACTGGAGCAAGGAAAATTTCTCACTGATTTTAAACATGCGAAAGTAACTCCAATCTACAAAAAGGGAAGTAAATCTGACCCTAGCAACTATAGATTATAAGTGTAATCTCTAAGGTTAAGAAAGAAGTCAATCAAGGGAGAATGTGTGGACTTGTTCTATTAGACCTCCAAAAAGCTTTAGACACAGTCAACCATAACATACTGCTGCTAAAGATGAAGGCTCTAGGATTAGACAGCTCCGCCATTAAGTGGCTAGGGTCTTATCTATCAGGAAGGGACCAGCGAGTTGATGTTGGGGGAGTGTTGTCAGAGGCCATGCCTGTTTCCTGTGGGGTTCCACAGGGCAGTGTGCTCGGGCCACTGCTCTTCCTACTCTACATCAATGACATGAAAGCTGCTTGCTCCAGCCCTTTATATATGCTAACAATTCTGCCGTTCTCGCATTGCACAAAGGCATATATTGCATACAGAACATTCTAAGAGAGAATCTAGACAGGGTTCAAACCTGGCTGTCTGAAAATAGGTTGCTATTGCACCTAGGTAAGACCTATATTATAAGGCTCAAAAGTTAGGTTGAGCAAGGAGGACAAACTTGTTATAACTACTGGAGGGGTAACAATCACATCGCAGCCCTCAATTAAATACTTAGGTTGTATCCTTGATGGGTCTCTAGGGGGCGCTTCTATGGCTCTAAAGACCCTGGGAAAAATAAATGCTAGAACTAGATTCCTTGCAAGAAAGGCTACACTACTGAACCAGGAGTGTCTAAAGATATTAGCTTCCTGTTTAATTCAATGTCACTTTGATTACACTATTAGTTCCTGGTACTTGAGTCTAAACAAAGCCCTGAAACAAAAACTTCATACATCACAGAACAAACTAATTAGAGTAGTCCTGAGGCTGAACCACAGGAGCCACATGGGAATGGCTCAATTTAAACAATTACAGTGGCTACCTGTTGAGGCCAGAGCTAGACAGATCCAATTTACTATGGTCCACAGTATTTTGAATAATAGACCTCCAACTTATTTTAATAATTATTTCAAGAGAACTGCACATGGACATAATACTAGAGCTAGCTGAGGAAATGTTGCCCTATATAAACACAGGACAAAGACAGGAGGTGAATCCTTTATCTATGCCGGTGCCGTGGAGTGGAACAAACTACCGCTCTCCATACAAGAAACGGAAAGAGCAGTATCTTTTAAATCAAAGATTAGGAAACTACTGTTCTGCGACCTATAGGGCTGCCACGATTAGTCGACTAATCGATGACTAATCGACTATTAAAATAATCGGTGACTATTTTAGTAGTCGACTAATTGGTTTGAGTCATTTTTCATAGAAAAGTACTATAAAAGTACCCCAAAATACTCTTACTACAGCTTCTTACATTCAGATATTGGCAGCTTTACACACTCTCCTGTGACAGTGAACTAAATCCCTTTGGCGTGAGTATGAAACAAGACATTAGATGATGTAATTTTGGGGTTTGGGCGAGACAGACCGACATTTTTCAACATTTTAGCACATTTTTCGATGAAATGATTAGTCGACAATGAAAATAATCGTTAGTGGCAGCCCGAGCGACCTACCTTTATAAGTGTTAACGCTCTTTTTTGCACTATTGTGGTTTCATTTACTATTGCTCTTAATTAACTTGTGATTAATGTAGACCGTCAAGCACTTTACTGATGCATGCCACCACTTGGACTGCTGTTATAACAGGGACAACGATGGAAATAACTCTTGGACTTTTTCATTCCATCCCTGACAAATGCAGACATATGTTTTTATTGTTTAAAATTCTATGTATTGCTTGTGTCAATAAATCAAATCAAATCAAATCAAATCAAATCAAATCAAAAGTCAGTATCAGTCCTCCTGTCCTCTCTGCTCCTTCCTCTGCTACTGAGGAGAGTCCCCCCCTAATATAATGGTAGGGGAAACACTGCTCTGTGCAGTGTTTTGGCCTCTGAGGAGACTTTAAACATATTGAGTCTCATTCATGAAATGTTAGTAAATCTGTTAGCAGATTTGCACTTAAAAAAACCTTAGTACTAAAAACCTACACCGGATTCATGAACGCCACAGAAAACTCAGATTTGATCGTAGACGTGTATGTTCATGAATGCCAATCAATCCTAAATTGACAGAGGGCTCCCGCTGGTCAGCAATTAGCATACACCCCCGTCCATGAATAGCCAGTGACCACCATATATGGAGGTCATAATTACTATGGACGGGTGCATCCCATGTCGTGTCTCTCATAATCAAATTAAACAAAATGACATGCAGTTTGGGGCTGTGGTGCATAAAGAATGCAGGGGAGGAGAGGAGGAGCGCGTTCCTTTGTTATTTTATTTATTCTGAGAACAGCAATTTCCAATTTTGGAATCACGTTTTTAAAACACCTAATCTGAAGCTCAAATCTGCTAAATGCCAACTAATTTAGCTAACTGTGTTATATTTCTAATCTTTTGCCATGTTTAACTTAGGTGTTCCAAAGGCATCTGCATAATGTGAATAAGAGAGCACAATACACATTAAAATTATAGTTTCTAACAATGACAAGCAATATTTATGTGGAATATCTTATTTACACAAGCACTATGAGCAGTCAGAAGCAGGTGTAGATTTTGTTAGTACCTACAAAAAGCTTGGAGCTACTAACATATTGATGATTGGCGAAATACACGTAAATTTACTTCTAAAAACAGTTTACAAACAAATTAGTTCTGCTCACCTTTCTTGAATGAGACCCATTATTTGTTACTCCAACCCGACTAAAATAAAGTCAAATAAATAAGGACTGTACCTGATAATTTGTACCAGCTCCATGAAGACTTCGTCCACGTTGTAGCGATTCTTGGCCGAAGCCTCCATGTAGTGGATCCTGTTTTCTCTGGCAAATGCCTGAGCATCCTCCCTGGAGATCTGCAAACAATGCAAACAATGTGTGAGGTCAGTAGGATCTTCCACTGTCTCCTCGTCCTTTTCATTCTGTACAGCTGTGCTCTCGTTGTACCCTGCGTTCATTTCAGTACTGAGCGGTCCACCCATACATTACTGTACTGTAAGAAGTTAATACATAATAAAGTAATATGGAACTGGGTTTGCTTCCCTCTACACAAACAAAACAAATGAACAAAACAGCTAGTAACAGGTTACTGTTTGCTTTTTTGTTTTCTGTTGATAGATTGGTGTAAGAAACACATTTTTAGTCAAGTATAAGCTGCATTTGACATTTATTTACATCATTTATTTTCAGTGTGATAGTTGCTGAGATGCAGTCTTCCCGCCCATCTGACTCACAGCTGTGTTTGAACTTTGTCATTAAGTGATTTACTGCTCCTCCCTTAAATATGGTGACCTCATCCAGCAAATCAGATTAGTTTGTCCAAGAAATTCCCTGTTATTTCCTAACCGTGGATGACCTAACCTTGACTTTTTGGAGTACATCTGTCTGCACTCCACTCCTGTCCTGGGTCAACACCTTTGAATCTGCCCACTCCACTGAGTTCATGTTGACTCTTCAGGCTGATATCAGGCAACCATATTTCACAAATAATGGGAAACCTAATTGACCCCATAAAAATGCACAAGGGAATTCCTCACCACTCTTTGCTGTTCCAGATCAGCCTTGTTTCCAACCAGCACCATAGGGAAGTCATCCCGGTCCTTCACTCTCAGGATCTGAGTGTGGAATTTCTGGACCTCATGGTAGCTATCAGGTGACAGAAGGAAAGAATTAGTAATTTAAGTATCAACAAATGCATTCTGATTTACAGGAGAGAATGTACTTTGTACAGGAGAACAATAATGACCAATCAGATCAGCTCCGCTTATCTCTTTTAAATGCAGCAGTCTGGTGTTCCAGAAAACAGACCTTTAAAGGCAGATAATGATGATGATGAGTGCCAGCAGGCAACAGCTAGAGTTATTAATAATGCAATCAAATACAAAGGTCATTACTGTAAACACTGAGAAAAGCTTTCTGAAAACTCCCACTTATAATTCAAAAACACAGAATTGTATACAGCCAACACATGTACTGTATCCTCCTTAGAGCCCAGCTTTTGTCTGGTATGCGTTTTTGAAATCTCTTAGCTATTTGGGGTGAGAGGGACCTGATAAGTATAAAAACTAACCATTATCTGTGAACAGTGAGTTCTCTTTCTTTTTTCATATGTGGAGGATGGGTTTACTTAATAGTAACAAGTGTGTAATAAAGTGTAAAACTGAATATTTCAATGCATGAACATTGTTATGGAAAAACAAAATTATAAACAGTGCAACAGTGGGTCCTAAAGTGGGGTGCTGGCCCATTCTGAATGGACTGCAAGTGACTCAGGGCTCGTGTCAAGTTTGTAAAAAACACACTTTATGTTATGAAGTACAGTGCTTTTCATTTGAAGTGCTGTTTCCCGTTTGTCCTGTCAGGTATAAATATCTATCCGAATGTACTTCACCTGTATAAATGTTGAGTCACAAGGCTTTTAGATATGTTGCATTACTTGCAATTTAGCTTTTGCACAACCATAATCAGGAGTTGGAACTACCTTCTTGATCACTACCTTTTTATAAAGCCCCGCCCTCACCTGAGCACCGTGGAAATACACGCCCATAACTGGCCCCAGTACAGAAAATAGGAAGAAAACTCAATCCGGACAGAATAAATATCTGTCCTTCTGCTTATATTCAACTATAAACTGCTAATCATAAGGTCTTCATCTAACAACTGACAGAACCTGTTTAAACAGTGTGAATCTGCTGGTGTCTATTTAGCTCTAATGCAAACCACATGAAAACAGAGACAGGGGTTGACTCCATCATCAACACCTCTACAGTCTCATGTCATCTAATACAACAGCCCTTCCAACAAATGTTTCACAACACTAATAATGTCATCTCACATATGTTTTATTGTGTGTGTGAGACACGTGTTAAACTAGGTGGTGGTTTTGTTCGAACAGAACACATGCACTTGAACAGATATCCATGATATTTAGTCCACAAAGTGGCACTAGGTAAGGTCAACCTGTTCTGTGCTCCTCACTGTTTTTCAAAGTACCATTTCTTTATTATTCTTTTTTTAATGCCTTTCTCTTCTAAGTTTTATTGCTGTAATGCTGAGAAGCCAAAACCGAAGAATTATACTCTCTTCTACTTGTATCAATTAGGTGTAACAAAGACGGAATGTTGAATGTCCTGACCTCTCCGCACATCTCTAAATAACAGCTGGACAGTGAGACCTCATGCAAGTCTCACCACGAGCAACTGCTCACTTCATTTCCTGTTCAGCAGGAAGACAGACTGTCGATGTGAGTGACGGCATTACACGGTTACACTGACAAACCATTCAGCTCACTGTGTCTCTACTTCTGAGGTATTTATCATGCTATGCACTCACACAAACTTTCAATTACCTGCCCCGGTCGTTGAGTGCAAACACCAATAGGAAGCCTTCTCCTGAGCGCATGTACTGCTCCCTCATCGCTCCAAACTCTTCCTGACCTGCTGTATCCAGGACTGAAATACACACACACACACACACACACACACACACACACACACACACACAGAGTATAAAGTTTATCCCAGTCCATTCCTTTTCCTGTACAGGTCAACAGAAACAGCATTTCCCAGACAAAGTGTTGGTTTCCCTCTGTTATCACTTGTTTTTAGGGTTCCTACAGATTAAAGCGGCAACAGATAGGATTTGATTTTTTTAGCTTGGCGCCACCTAGCGTCAGCGTTATTGCTCGCACTGTCGCAATGACCAAATTGACCGTGGGGATCAGAGATAATCAATAAAATGTAGGCTGTAAAGCCACCGATATACTTCTATGTATATGTAGAATGAGAAGGTGTGTGGACACTCTACTAAATGAATGAGTAAAGAGACTGAGCAACAATTATCAGATTTATCTGAAGAAAAAACAAATAGTAATGCAAATTAAAAAAATAAAAAAAATAAATTATACCAGAATGCACAGTACCAGTACAAACAACTCACAATAAATTATACCAATATGTACAGTATCATTACAAACACAACAGTAGACACGTAAGGGATAATGTATAGTGAGCCAGTGACTGTTGAAAAATAATTCCCAACGGGAATGGAACCCCGACGCGCAGTGGAGTTATTTTTCAACCGTTACCGGCTCACTATACATTATCCCGCTTAGAACATGGCTTACTACTAAAACATTCAAATGTTACAACTGGCATCAATATTATTAAATTGCTGGCAGAGTGTATTGACAGAGGAGAGGCATTCACCAGACAAACGGGAGCGGAGAAGAGGATTTTACTCCACTTCTCCCGGTCAGAGATGCTGGGTGCCCAGTAGCTGCGAAGGCTGCCCTCACATTTATGGCCAGTGACCGACATGATCTCCCTGCTATCCAGGCCAGCTTGGGGAGAGCTTGGGGAGAGTCGCCCCACCCTCCCCTCCCTCCTGAGTGCGGATGTATGACATCATCATAAGGTTTTTCTCGCTCATTTACCCCTCCCTTTTTGGAACCTTCTGTCAGCTAAGAGACCGTGTGTGCGTGTGTGTGTGTGTTGAGATCCGTCAATATTATGGTATTAGATCTCAGCCAAACACCAATCATTGTTGAGATCCGTCAATATGTGTTCTTAACCCTGAGCTACGGAGCACTTTTACCCGTATCATGTTTTTCTTTGAATCAATGAATCTAATCTTCTTAATCTCTTCTTAATCGTTTGGGTATCCGCATCACTCCTTCCTCTTGGGGTGAACACTGAGGTGAATGGTTTTTTTTTTTTTTATTGAAAGATAGATACAATAAAATAAAAAATAAATCACACTTAAATGTTTCTAGTAAAGAAAATAATGTAAGGGCTTTCTTTTCTTTAACAAGACTGAGGGACTTGAGAGTTGTAGCTCATTCCTGCAATGAGTCTTAAAATATCCGCATTTGTGAATAAAGAACTTTCCCAATAACACACCGGGGTGAATGTTGTGGGAGCCAGGATGTAGGGAGGGGGGGAGGAGACGCGCCAGACACAATATCACGATACGGTGATGTAGTTAAAATAAATCCTCACCATCTTCTTGCTTCCCTTTCTCTTTCTCTCAAACACACACACAGCAATTAAATATTCAGTTTATTTAAACTCTTTTTGTTTGTGACATGAAAAAACACGTTAATTATATGAGTTACAGAGGGTGAAAAGATGAGTTCTAACTAAAAGTACAAAGTGTGAAAGTGCAAGCGATTCTCACCCAACATTCACCTCCACACATGCACGCACGCACACGCGCGCACACACACACACACACAAACACACACGCATACTATTCACTTTGCGTCAGTTTCTCCAAATCACCTTAGCATATGGGGTGACCATTATGGAGTGAGCTTTTAAGCACATAGGCCTACTACAATCAATAAAGCACAAGTTACCATTCGTACGGTTTTCTTTAAATAGGAGCTTTTTCCACCGTTCGTTAGTTACTCACAGCAAAGAGCGCATTTACAGGAACACCGAGACCTATCATGGACTTTGGTAAGAAAACTTTTACCATCTTTTTTAAAACCATTTTCTTGTCCTTTAAGTTTCACAGCGATCCGTTAATTTATTATTATTTTCTATTGACAGACATCATCAATCTAACGGACGAAGGTTATCTCATGAGCCCAGAGTATAACAACCTGTCCGACTGTAAGTCTTGTTCTCGTTGATGTTGTTAACGCACATCTCATACACATTTACGCATCTAATACACAATATATTCCGTTGTTTTTGTTTGTTTTACAGTCACGGTCGATGATCTGGAAGAGTTGAGCGAAATCATTTGTCAAGCAGAGGCCGAAGAAACTAAGCATTCTGCTCCGGCGCCGATTCCCTCAACAGCCGACGTGGTTAAAAGAGCTGACCCGGTCCAACCATCGTCTCAGACCGCTCCGGAGCATACGAAGGATGCTACACGTCCTCCTGTACAAACGCTACATTCTTCTGCACCCGGGAGGAAGAGGTGGCGGACGCCCAGCAGCAGCAGCAGCAGCGACAGCAGTGACAGCAGCGACAGCGACGGTCGACCGAGTGTTTCTCGCAACGGTCGTAAAACCGGTGAGTCAAAAAAAAAAAAAAACCTTTTATTTTCTTTAAAAAAAAGTAAACACACAGGATCTGTGTCGGCTTCACGCTGCAATGCTACAAACATGAAGTTGGACCATTATCGATACATGTCCGACGTGAAACACGCGTCGGCACATAAACGTTCCCCCCTATCCAACAAACGTACATTGCATATGTGATATAGGTCCGATGTGAAACACGCGTCGGCTCATAAACGTTCCCCCCTAACCAACAAACGTATATTTCATCTTTATTACTTGTTTTTATTTCATTAAGAATACAATTTGAATAAAATAATGACTTTTAAAATGATCACTTTGCACAAGATGCGCTCCCTTTTATCCACAGCTCATTTTCATTCACGGCTTCTCATTATTATTATTATTACTATTATTATAATTGTTATTTATCGCCGTTTCTTGTATTTTGTACTTATTTGGCATGCCTAGTTTTTCAAGTTTAAATTTTGAAATCTTTAATCCGACTCTCTCCCCTTGACCGGAATAATTTCTCAATTATGGGATCAATAAAGGTGTATCTTATCTTATCTTCTCTCTCTCTTTCAGCAAAAAGACCCAGAAAATGTACGCATAGTTTCAAATGTACGACCTGTCAGAGGGAGAGACAAGAAATACATCTTCTCGTCTGTACTATGCTAAGGACCATGAGTGATATCCTCTTTGTGATGGGCCTTGGTGATTGAGCGTAAGTTTTGTTTTTTATTTTTATTTTTGTTTTCTGTAACCATGGATGAAAGCAACCGCCATCCCTCAAAACTTGATGATGCATGAATTAAACCAGAATGTATTAAATGAAACTCAATCTTTAAGGAACAAGAAAGTGATATAGATATGGGATATATATCTAACCTACAAACGTATATTTCATATTTATTACTTATTATTTAATTTAGCATACAATTTGAATAAAATAAAGAATAATCCCCTCTCTCTCTCTTTTTTTTTTTTTTTCCAGCAAAAAAGACCCAGAAAATGTACGCACGACCTGTCAGAGGGAGAAAGAAGAAAATACATCTTCTCGTCGGTACTATGCTAAGGGCCATGAGCGAGATCCTCTTTGTGCTAGGCCTTGGTGTTTGAGTGTAAGTTTGGGTTGTTGTTGTTGTTGTTGTTTGGTTTTTTAAAATTTTGTTTTCTATTTTCTGTAACCATGGATGAAAGCAACCGCTGTCCCTCAATACTTGATGTGATGATACAAGAATTAAACCAGAATGTGTTAAATGAAACTCGAGAACCCGCTCAGTCTTTATGCGAGGCACAACAAGATGTAGAAATCACCGACCCACTCACAGACATCAATATGGCTATCGCAGATCTTGATCATTCTCAAAGCATTTTAAACACCATAAATCAATGTCAAGACTTGTTAAATCAAATACCCTCTTCCTCTTCAAACAGCGTACCCACGCGGTACGACTCTTTAATCGGAGAATAAAGCCCCGTCATTTCTTTTATCCCTGACCCGTTCTCAGATATTGATGTTGCTATCGCCGAACTTAATCATATGCAAGCTGTTTTAAATACGATAAGCCAATGTCAAGATTTGTTAAATCAAATACCCGCCAATCCCTCGACATCAAACGACACGCATTTGCAAACCGAGACCCGATTGACAATAATCAAAGTGCCCAAAATCAAACGAGCGTCTTTAACGCCATAGACCACACTGTAAATCGTTTAGAAAATGTCCAACTCGCAACGTCCGACTGTCAAAATCAGCAGCGAGGGGGTAATGTAGAGGACGTTCGTTCGGAAAATTTAGAACATCAACACACATCGCAACGAGAAAACTCGCCTCAAAATTCACCCTCGTCGAGGGTGGTGACGCGACCTAGATTTAACAATGTTGAATCCAGCCATCCGCTCAACATCAACGTTACAGAACTACATCGAGGTACGGCTGATTTTGGTGAATTTTACGTCAGGGTGTTTACAGAGATGGCGCAAGCGGTGACGAACGTCATTTCACAAGTCGAACGACAAGATGCGGTGCAGCTCGAGTTGAGAGGTGATACTCTGCCTCAAGGCGCGTCCTGCGTCGTGAGCGGAGAGGAGTTTGATTTAACTCACTTACAGTCTTTCCTAGACCGAATTGTGCAATCTAACATGGCCGTTAAAACCGACGGTAATTTGGTATTCACCGTCCAACTCGTCAAAAACCCCCGAGGCGGCGGTCGAAGACTCTTGTCTAATACCTTAGACGGCGAGATTATTAAAAAAAAGCGACGGTCTCTGCGGGTCGTAATCAACGGCCACGACAACCAACTTTGTTTTGCGATTAATTTGGCTCACCTGCTTTACCCCGATATCGTCGATAGCGAAGCGTTTGCGCTCGGCAGAGACTTTCAAAGTAAGGCGGGTTTGAACGATCAGACCGCGGTAACGTTCGGCGATATA